TTGCGTCACGTAGGTGCGTACAGCGATAGCCAGGGGGGACATGGTGACGGCGGAAATAGCCTCCCGTGAGGCTCGCAACTTCTCCTTCATCAGCCTGGCTGTGGGCATCGCCTCCATCGTGCTGTGCACCATCCTGACCGTGGTGGTCATCATCGCCTCGCAGCATCACGACGACGACTGGGAGCCGTAACTCAGCTCCACCAACGAGGGGCGAGAGAAAAAATCAACACATACTTCATCCTGCTCACTATTACTTCATGGCCCTGAGGGAATGGGAAGGTGTTAAATCACAATCATTGCTGGGACACACACACACACACACACTGCACTCATACACACAACAAGATGCATGTCTGTTTATTCTAAATTCTTTTTTTTGCAAATGAAGTCCTTTTTAATTCATAGTAAAAAATTAATTAGCAAATTAGAAAAACTTTTTAAGGATATTTAAAATCATTAAAATGACAAATTCACATGTGTTCTGTAGGTAGAGTATACAGGAATCTACCCCCTCCCTGCACTGCCACCTGCAGGATGTATCATTAGTGCATCTGAGGCTGACTGAAGCCGTGCACCTCTGACCCAGCTCTGACATAACCTCAGTTATGGCTCATTTTGCCACAGAAACATCACACAAGTTTGTCATATTTTGCAATACTGCCACCTACTGGATCTGTTTTGCCTCAGAAGTTCCCCAACCACTTGTTAAAAAAACCAGACACAGAGCAGTGTGAGGAGTTCCTGTATACTCTACTGTTTCTGGTTTTTTTTTTATCATGTGGCGTGGTTGAGGGCAGGGGTACTCAACCACAGGGTCGGGGACCAGTACTGGGACTTGGGTAATTTGGTACCAGGCCGCACAGAAAGTTAAAACATACAGTGTTTTTCACAGTAATTCTGACTCTTCTTTTCAACACTAATAATAATTATATTTACATGATATTATGAAGTTATATTTGATGAACTTTTATGTTTTGTCATGTGTGGGGCCTCCCCTCACACCCACCCCTACCCTCACCTCCCCTGACCTCACCTCCCCTCTGGTGCTTGGATAAACCGCAGTGCAAAAAGTGTTTGGTACCACCAGTGTAGGATCTACACACACACACACACACACACACACACACAGCTCTGACCTGCTGCTAACAAACCCACACAGACAAACAAGAATATCCAATAACAATAGTTGATAAAAAAAAAAAACTTGCGAAACCAAACACTGATTTTTTTTTTTTTTACCCTCAAGTACAGTATGTGCTGCTGGCGTCAACAACCAATCAAATCACTCGCTGCACTTTTGAACACCGGAGCTCCAGTGTGTGTTAGGACAGAAAATGTGTGTGTGAACATTTCAGTCTTATAGAAACTACAAAAACAAAGTACCGTGTTGGAAAACAGTGTTTATTCTTACTGTAGTGTTGGAGTGACGGTGGACTAATACACATTAACACACACACACACACACACACCAAATGGACTTAACCATGAGTATTTATTCAACCTTTGTACAGTATGTTCCACAGACGTTTTAGCCGATTGATAACTTATAATAACTCTGTGTTTGTTGATCTATTTAAAGGTCTTTTATTTATTAGTTTTTTATACGTTACTGCTGTACGTGGCTTGTTTATTGCAGTTACTGTCTGACACTTGGAATTGGCCTAGATGTAAAAAAAAAAAAAAAATTGTACGACGACTGTGGTGACGATGCACTTTGTTGGAATCAGTCTTTCTGGAGAACTGTGGTGTTTTGGTTTTTCCAGACTGGTTGACTCCATAAAATGACTTTATTCAAGTTTAAAAGTCACGGGAAACAGTAAAGAAATTCCAAATGAAACAATAATGAGGTTAAAAGAATGACTGTGTTTAGTAAATGGCATCAAAAATACAGGTGGACTCAACTGTGTAGTAAATGTATGTAGTTCAAGCGTCCTGCTGGACAGCAGTGGTACTGCACCCAAGACTATGTTTCTTGTCAAAAAGACACCTGGGATTTGAACTGTCAACCTTTTTATGGATATTAAAGGAAGGGGTGAATCAACAATAGTTCATGCAAAAACGTTCAAAATGTTTCGAGGCGTTGTCCACCTCTGATGTTCAGCTGGTGGTAGAAACCAGCTGACAGGAAGTCGCTGCTCTGAATCCTCGCTCATTTATTGCATGATAAATATAAATTAAATCTAATGGTTGACTTTTTGTGCAGACACAGCATCTCTGAGCTAATGTGTGGAATATTTCGAAATAATTCCTGTAAGCGCGTACGGTATTTTAAGTGTTGGATTCTATTTAATATTTATTTCAATTGAATTGGAATCTTTTTGGTTATTTTTCAGGTCAGTCGTCAGCGTAAGGCTCTGTTTGCGTTGCACATCTCTGAACTATTTAACCTCAGACGCTGCGGGTGTAACTTTGATGAGCCACAGCCCTGCATGTCATCCTCAGTTTGTTTTCTGATATTAAATATTTAGGGCTAGACGAGCGACGGAGTGGTCACGTGACGTAACTTCACTGTTTTTGTAGTGAGTTGGGCTTTTCTCTCTCTGCTGTACAGAAGGTCGGGCTGCACGGCGCGGCGCGGCGCGGCGCGGCTGTGACGTCAAGGTGCCAGGTATCATTTGTGAACAAATGAACTGAAAATGAATGTTTCCAGAGTGAAAACACGGTTGACTGTTGTATCGTAGCACTTTCTGACTGGTTTTCTCTCTCTTCTCTGCTTTCTCTCCCCCACATGAATGAATGGACCTGTGAACATATCTCTTCTCCTCCCCCCTCTCTCTCCTCCTTCGGTCTTCATGATGATGCTATTTTTCAAAAAAAAAAAAAGAATTCTACATATACAGTATATTTAAAAAATAAAATCTTGTGATGACAGTGAAGACAAGTTGAGGTGGTGCTGTATGAGGGCGCTCTAAGTCTGAGGTGAAACTTTGCCAACACAGTGTGAGGTATTGATGTATGACGTGGAAAACAGTGTTTGGGTTTGTATTCATCAAAGTTTTGTGAATTATATGAGGGCCTGTATTTGCATTAATTAGCCTTTTTTGGCTAATGCTACCTTCAACCTGTGAATGTCGTCTGTTCTGTTATTCACCAAGTAAAACAACACAAAAACACTTTTTTGGTAAATGATGTATTAGTTGCGAAATACTTTGTCAGTAATGTAAAATTTTTGACAATTCAGATCTCTTTCCTCCCTTTGTTTTGCTCTGGTAATAAAGATTTAAAGATTCTAAAGGTTAGCAAAGTGATTTGATGAAAGTCCATTTTACATCTGCAAAAAAAAAAAGAGTTTCAGGAAGAAAAAGTCACCGTCATATATATGTTCAAGTCCCAGACCCTGACAGTGAATATGTTAAAAAGACAAAACGTTTCATGTTATGATACAATACTATAAAACAGAATACATTCTGATATTTATATGAATACAGTTTTCTCTTATTCTTACGATTTTCCAGTTTGTCAAACACCGACCTTTAACCTTCTGTTCTCCACACATGAGTATTTAACGTGTGAAGTAACAGAGTCGGCTCTGGTTTTATCAGCTCTAGTTCGGGCTGCGTCCCTCGGCCTGAAGTTCTCCACCACCTCCTCTCTTTCCTTCTCTGGTTTCCCAGAGAATTGAACCCCCCACCTCTGTCCGGATCCTGCGGTTCACTCTCTGGAGTTCAGTCTTCTAATTGTGTTGATGGCTGTGTTGCAGCAGTTGTTTCTGGATGATGAATAAAGAACAATGTTGGCTGGTGAACGACATGATGGTGTCGCCTGTGTCTCCCTCCAGCCTTTCTCCATCCTCTCTCTCTCTCTGTCCTCTCCTCTCTCACCCATCTTCTATTTATAGTTGCCCTGGTTTTCTTCCCTGGTTCTCTGTCAGAACATGAACTACAGTGTCTCTCACTATCTTGTGCTAAATCACAGCAGCTTTACTGTGTGTCTTACAGCTGCTCAGCTTCTCTGTGCATTTCGGTGCCGTTTGTTTTACTGCTGCATGAATGGAGTCTACATCTGCTGCAGTGGAGTTCAGAGTCATAACTCCTCCACTCAGTACCAGGGATGGGGGTCACACTGTCAGCCTGATTAGATGTCCAGTGGGCCGGACCAGTACAGTCATAACATAAATACCTGTAAATAACATCAAGTCCATGTTTCCTTCTTTTGTTTTCATGCAAGTATATTAGAAAATGTTATAAAATATTTTATGAAATATCATTTGACAAAACGTCTTTGACCTGAAGTGTTTGTGCATTTATGTTTTCACTTTCAAAATTCATCAAGCAGGCCGCATTGAACTCCCTAGTGGGCTGGTTTTGGCCCACGGGTCGTATGTTTGACACCCCAGTCTTGAGAGAATGGTGTCATGACACAGTACGTTTTATTCAAATGTCTCCTTGCTAAAAAGTTTTTAAGTCTTGAGAGTGAAAATAATACCATCAAGTTGCCAGTGGGGGCAGCATACATTCTATAGAATAGAATCCATGCGTTCACTCCTCCCTTCCCCACTTGGAATGAATGGCCAGCAGCCCCCACTGTGATTTAATTTGCAGTATGACAACCTCGTTAAAAATGGAGCAGTAATTTAACTCTGAGTCCAAAGAAAAATAGGTTGGAGGGAGGAAGCTGAAGGTGGGCCAGGAGCCAGTCTGTGTACCAGATCACAGATGGCCGTTTAGCCTCCCGAGGAGAACTGCCGTCTCGCGGATCATTTCACTTGGCCTCACGCTGCATGTCTTGCTCCTCCACCACAGTCCCAGCATCCCTCTGGTGCAGCCACGCTGCTCGGCCTCACTGTGTGTTGGTGTCGTCCTGCAGCTTCTCTCCTTGAGCCGTCATCTCGGCTGCACCGTCAGGGCTGATGGATGACGAGTTCACAGTGCTGCTGCAGAAACTCAAACTCACAGTCTCAGCGTTTATTCTGTGTTGTTGTACAAAAAATATAGAGTTTTTTAAAAATACTTTCTATTGGTGTGAAGTTACAAAGTGGTAGAAATGATGCATTCAAAGACATGTCTCTGTCATCAAGCTCTGACAGGTCTAAGGAATAACCCCAGTCGTTGAGGTATTTACAGGTTCTCAGTCACCGAGGTGGTTCAGTCATCGAGGGTTAGAGGTTTGCAGCTGGAGCACAGAGATGGACACAGACAAACAAACAGACCTGAAATCAGTTTCACTTTCACTTGTTGTCATTAAAAGACACAACAACAACAGTAGCATGTGTTCTCAGCGTGGCAGCATTTAGCAGACAGCAAAGTGACAAATGTCCAGGTGGTGTGAACGAGGATGAAAAATGGTCCCTGAAGTGGCCACGGAAACATTGAAACGTTGCATTCAGTGTCTTTACTCCACATTTGGCCCAAAGGCAGCGCCCTCATGTGACAGTTTTATGGTTCAACAGTCTGGACCCCGGCCTCCTGGGGCCAGGCGGCTTTCATCAGTCTTCTGTCAGCTTCCTCTGTTACTGAAGGATCTTCTTTTTGATGTATTGGCAGAGGCAGAGAGGAGCGAAGCTGCAGTGACCCCTGCTGGAGCGGAGACCATAGTGTGATGTGTCCGACAGTCGCTTAGATGCCAGCAGCCAGTGTGACAGTCGCTTAGATGCCAGCAGCTTCACATAGGCTGCGCTGTAGGTCATCAGGAGCTGGAACGCCTGAGTCTGCACGGACAAGAACGCAGGTAAGGACAGGCTCCTAATGGTACTTTACTACAGTAAGGAGTGACTTTTTAAATTAAAGAAAATTATACATTACAACTTTTGTTTACAACAACGGTTAAAAAGGAGCTAAGTAAACACTAGCCTGACAATAGTTTAGAGACTTTGTTGTCTGATCTTCAGTTTATCAGTTCCTCTTACCTGAACAGGTAAGGATGCGTCAGGGACCAGGCTATAGCTGACAGGGACTTTAGCCCCCGCCTGCTGGCCAGATGAGGAACTACCAGCTGTAACTTCACGCTCCAGCAGCGGCCTGTGTTCTTCCAAGTCGGGCTGCTCTGCGTCTGAGATTCCGGCCTCGGGGTCAGACGCCGTGACCTCAGCCACAAGTGTGAGATTGGACATTTTCTTCTTGAGCTTTTTCTGGTAGAAAAATAAAAAAATAAATCAGATTGGACGACTTGCACGCCTTCGGAGATTGAATTTCTTTTGTCCAGAAGAAACATCCCGTCATCAGCAGCTCATGTTGCATTTCTGTGGATTCTAAAATGACAAACGAAAGTGAAATCGATCAGAAACGCACCTGGGTTTCATTCACCACGAAGCTGCGCTCTTCTAACTCCTCAGTCAGCGTCCGCAGACAGCGGCTGATGTCCCAGTAAACAAAAACCAGCTGGAGAGACACATTACATCAGAGAAATGTTCATTTATTGTTCATGTTTTTTATTTTATTTTATTTTCCATTTCACTAGAAGCACCTGTATTTTACCGGTGCAGTTCTGTACCCAGTCGGACACGCCCACCAGCAGCTTGTGTTTCACCAACCGCTCGTTCACCTGGATTAACCGAACGTCCAGGTTCATGCTGATCTGCCACATAACGTTTACAATGTTAACAACAAACACACTCATACTAACTAAAAACAACGTTAGGCAACAATTTTCAGTTATTGTTTACACACATGAACCTCCCCTCCCTCTCCTGCAGGTGTTGCTATAAACACAGTTGGTGTGTTAGTTGACTCAACAGTCAATCAATATTGATTTTTACAAGTCAAATTTTTTCAATAATAATTATGTTTGAGGTTAGACTTTAAGGCACATGTGCTAAACTCATGGCCCGTGGGCCAAATGCACGTCCCAGTTCATGACATAACTATTCCAGTGTCAGTGACATCCAGACGACGCCGCGTTCTTTTACCTCCTTATTACTGCGATTGAGGATGAAGATGATGGCAGTGGTGAGGAGGATGGAGACCAGGCTGACATAGAGACACAGGACCCAGTAGTCACTGACAGGGATGTAGAGGTGGAGAGTGGAGAAGACGCCGCACCACAGCACCACGTACAGCACCTGGAGGACGGAGGACACGTGAGCTACAGACGCTAGCTAGCTAACTCCAGAAGTATCAGATGGAGTGGGGCTTTTTATTTCAAGCTTGGCGATTAGCTTAGCATGTTTAGTAAGTGGCCTCGGTTCGGTTCGGTTAGCATACCGGTGCCATTAAGAAGTGAAAGTAGGCTGAGTTGAAAACCATGTATCTTCTGACGGAGGGAACGTCCAGGGCTGTTCTCAGAGGAACCTCCATGTCTGTGACTGGGATCTAACAGAAAAGCACAGAAACATCCAACATTACAAATGTAAAGTTCACCACAGGCTCGATGTGTTTTAGAATCCTAAATTTGTGTGTGTTTTCTGACCTGAAAGCCTTCGTCCTCCAGTACCGTTCGACTCACAGACAAATCAAATGTGGGGTTGAATGCTGAGCAGCTGGACAACGACAGAACACACTGACCTGAGAATGAATGGAACAAACGGACAGATGACTGTAGAGACCAGAGGGAGAGACTCAGCTCACAATGACCATAAAATATCTGAATATTCAGGTTCATCTTTCCTGATAACCAGCTTTTGGTAAAAAAGGAAACACTCAACCCCATGAGGGATGGGATTTCATTCTATTAACAAACATTCCAAAAAATAATGACTGTTTAATTATTGTATCATTTACCATTGGACCATTTCTTCTCCTCCTCCACAGGACAAACTCTGTCTTTGTCCTGCATGTTTTCTGATGTCAGCAAGTCCTAAAGGAAAATAAGCCGATAAATTAACAAAAACAAAAGAAAAAAAAAGAAAACAACAACTTGTGACATTATTTTCCTCGTTCTTTGGTTTAAAAGGAGAAGCAGCTAAAAAGAAAACCCTGTTTACTGTGACATCTGTGTATTTGTGTATTATAAACAGCTGACTTTCTCTGAGACCATCACAGTAAAAAATCAACAACAACGTATTATTAGCTGAGGTATTAGCCTAATGCTGCCCAAAATCTAAGGGTTAAAAAGCAAAGAAAAAACTTTTTAAAAAATGCCATGTTAATGATGCTGTCAGTTTATATTACTTTTACTGTAACACAAAACTGTTGCTGTCAAATTACCCACAATGACACAATGTTTTCTGTTAATAGGGCATAAAGACACACTACTTCTCCTTACCAGGAACTCACCATGGTTCACTTCCTTCACACCAGTAACTGTCGCCACTAAATGTCTCTCAAAACCGGCTCAAACTGAAGCAGTGCTGTGTTTTTGTGGACCAAACCCACTCCTTGTAGGTTTATTTCCTTTTCTTTTTTTTTCTTCACGCCTGCGTGTGTCAATGCCGACACTGGAGTGTGAAAATTCAGTCATTCCTGCGGCTCCTGCGTCAGCCATCGTGTTGGTTTGAGTCTACCATCTTTCTCAATGCTCTGTTCTGTGGTCATTTCACTTCCTGTTCTTTAAAACCTTCACAATACCACACCTTCAGATATCAAAAAGGGCAAGTTTGAAAATAATGAAATGAAGAAATTCTGATCATATTAATGCTAACTGTGCTAAATTGTTGCATTGTGCTTGAAAAGGGTATATTTGGTCACAAAGTAATCAAAAGTGTGGCAAATATAACAACTATATAACTAAGTGTTAGCAAATAAATAGCTAAATGTTAACATATCAAGTATATTTCCCTCAAACCAAACACATGTAGTACACAAGTAGTAAGAAAAGTTTAAAAGTAAGTAAATTAATGACCAAGTATTTTAAAATACTATCAAATTGAAACAAACATATAACTGAAAGTTAGCCTAGAAATATTTAATGTATAGCTAATTATATATATATATTTAACTTGCTAAATGTTTGTACACAGTTAGACGTTTTGTCGAAAAACATCTAAAATGTATCTTAGAATAGAATCCTTGGTTTAGAAAAAGTAAACATCTCACAGTGTTTGAAGAAGCAGTATCTTGGAGGTAACAGGCCAATTATCAGTACTTATCAGCACAAAGTACTCTGTTATCTTCAACTACCACTTAATCTGTTTATTTTCACACACTGTTGCTGTTCATCGTTTTAACCAATGAACCAAAGAAGGTAAATATTCAACAAACCCAGCAACTTTAAACCGGATTCTTCTGTTTGTGCTCTCTGTAAACTCTAAACAACTTGTTATGTAAATCAGCTCAACAAACAGCACAAAAAAACAAGAAAGTTAATGTTTTACATGATTAAATAAATGAATCCTACCATGACATGAGAGAACCTGTGGTCACCTCACACGTCTCTTACTCCATATTTGTCTCTGTATTACAGCATCACTGTACATGCCGCAGCTTTCGTTGACTGTGTTGTTGCACTAACGTAAAAACTAGTTTCCTTCCTGCTTTCTTTCTTTCTCTGTTTCTCTCTCTCTCTCTTCCTCGCCCTCTCTTTCAGTTTTAAACTCTCTTACAGCGTGTGACTCAGATCAGCTCGGCCACATGACTGTAGGAATGTGGTTCTACGTGAAACACACCCAACACAGTGAGTGTGGCCACTGTTAATTCAGGGTTTGTACAGTAAATGTATTGGCTAATTAATAAACTCTGATAATGCTGATAAATTCAAAAAGTATGTCAAAAACATTGGAAATTCAGAAGCTTGTTCTAAAAATATTAAACGCCTTCCATCCATCCTGAGGCATTTTACCAAAAGAAAGTAAATTAAAATGTGGGCTTTTGTGGAAGGTGTCACAGGTGTGTGTCAATGTCAACGTTTTTTGACCTTTCTATTTTTCCTGTCTGAAAGTGGGAAAAAAATAAAGAAGACATTTTTATTAAAAAAATGACTAATACAACCGCAGAATTCTCATTAAGGCGAATTTAGTTTTGTGTCATTAAATTTAGCAGGGTTTTGGCAAAAAACAAAAACGTAATAAGGCGATTTATTTTGGAGAAAGTCCGCCATCGTGTGGACACAATTTGTAAGTTCCTTTAGACGGGCACGGCCAAAGCCTATGGAATTTACAACACATAAAATTTACAGTTTTAATGTACGATTTCTATATTATTATACGTGATAAATCTCATCATCATTCTATAGCAATCGCTTGGTTTTTGGTTCTGAATGTATAGTTGTAAGTTGACCATTTTCAATCTATCATTTACATTTGTGCTAATAATAAACTATGTTGTGGTAACTTTGTGCTTTGTCCTTGTGTTTTTTTGTCACGTGAAATATGTGCTTCGTGGATCTGATATTAGAAGTTGTAGGAGGAAGTTTTGACGAAACAGAAATGGTTTCTTCCGCTTTTATTTTGGTAACTGTAACTGTAGTTTAGTCACGTGGTCGCTCAGCCTCAGTCACATGATTACAGAGTTACCGTTACGTTAAACACGGCTTCGGTTTTCTTCCCCTAATTCGGTCTAGGTCGTTTTATGCCCGCACACACACTCGAGCCGTTTGTATGACCGGAGAAGCGGCAGAAGAACACCTCGAGACCGAGTTCCAACATGGAGACTGGATGTCGAACTGCTGTACTTTCGGTTATCCTGTCCATTGTTGTGTTTGTTAGAGTCTGTCGCAACAGCCTAGCAGAGGTACGACCAGCTCTTTATTTACAAGGACTAGAAGATGTGCCAGTATTTATGACTACTTTTTAGTTGTTATAAAAGTGAAATAGTGATTTAAACTCCGGCTGGAGCTAAGCTACATTAAACACATCCTGGTTTGAACTAATGTATTTATTTAAGTACTACAGGATATTGGTTTTATCTGGTACCAATTATAAAAACAAATCAGCTTAGTAAAATGTATGGATTGGACTCTGGGGCAATGACAAAAGGGTGGACATTAAGCAGTGTCTGAGACTGTAGACTGAGCATGCAGCCAAGTAAAAACAACAGAAAGAGCCCGTGGCCTAGGGCCTTGTTTTTTGAGGTTGCAGGAGAAAATCTCGCCAGGGCTCTAGTGTGTTGGCCAAGCAGCAACAATTTCCTTACACTCGTTCTGATTTTTAGTGGTATTGCACCCAGACGCACCCAGACCCAAGAGGTTTTGGTTGTATGAAAATTAACTTTACTTTTTACAAATTCTACTAACTTTAGTCACTTTATTTTGGGCCAAAGCGCCACTAACATTAACATTGCCAAAATTATTTTTAAACATGTGGTTCTTATTCCTAAAAACTAAGTCCAATTTCTACAATTATCAGTTTATTGATCCGTGAAATATGGAAATGATTTGATTGTTGATTGGATTGTTTGGTTTGCAGATTGACCCTGTGGTGGTGGAAGAGCTCCTACTCTGGGAGAAAGAAGGAATGGGGGAGGTGAACACCTACAGAATTCCCCTGCTCACCTCCACCCCCAATGGAAACCTGCTGGCTATTGTTGAGGCCAGGAAAATGAATTCGGATGATGCAGGGTCAAAGTTCATCGCTCAGCGCCGGTCCACTGACAGAGGTAAGTCCTGCACAAACAAAACCAACAAACATCAGTCTGCAGCTGCAATTCATTCATTTGTCACATTGTAGTACAAGGACATGGAATCCCAGTACCATTATCTCTGAGACAAATATCAGAGAAAACCCAAAATAATAAAAAAAATAATTTAAAAACAATTTGTTTTATCTCTACAGGAGCCACTTGGTCCCCGAGCTCATTTATTATTGACGATGTTACAAGTCCGGATGGTCTGAACCTGGGCTCTGTGGTGGTGGACCATGAGAAGAATGTGATTTTTTTGATCTACACCTTGTGCTTCCACTTCAACAAGTGCAGCACTTCCAGCGTCATGATGATAGAGAGCAAGAATGATGGCCTGAGCTGGAGTGAACCCAGAAACCTCTCACTTCAGCTCGGGGTCGAGGCCTTTGCACCAGGACCAGGATTTGGAATCCAGGTGAGAAAACAGCAGTGAGATTAACAGAAAAAAAGCATTGAGTTCATTGTGAGATTCTCTATTTTCCTGGTGTAAAAAAGTGAAATCCATTTGCGTGGTATCTGTATTCTGTTCATAGAAGCGATATGATCCAGGTAAAGGGAGGCTGGTGGTTTGTGGACATGGAACAATAGAAGACGACGGTGTTTTCTGCATCCTCAGTGATGACCATGGAATAACCTGGTACAAAGGTGAACCTCTCAGGAGCATCCCCTACCACCACAAGAAGAAAACATTGGATTTCATTCCGGATGAACCACAGGTGTGATTATTATTATTATTATTTTGCTGGTGTCTTCCCCTGTAAGCCCTGTCTGACACATGCTTGATTTGGGGACTTAGGCTGTCACCAATGAGTTATCTGCATCCATTAAATCCAAATTCTATTGGCACTATGCTCATTTACTGATAAGCAGAGAGGTTAGAGTGCCCTCTGCTGTCCAACCCAAAAACAGCTACAGTTTGAAGTGAATTGTAATAACCATCAATGATTCACACTTGAATTCCATAGCTGGTTGAGATGTTGGACGGCAGCATCATTGTCAATGCACGGAACCAGTACAAGTACCACTGCAAATGCCGTGTGATTGTACGCAGCCTGGACGGTGGACTGACCCTGCCCATAGAGGAGCTGTATTTTGACGAAACACTTATCGATCCTTCAGTAGCAGCAGGACTTTTGCAGAAAGAGGGAGTGCTGTACTTCACCAATCCTTCCAATACAAACAGCAGTAAGAACCTTTAGTACATTTGGTAATTATGCTGAAATTGGTAAGCTATTGTAACATTTCAAAGTAACTTATATGTTGAATATTAATTAAACAGACATATTTAACAGAAGTATAGCTTTATATGTGCATGTGCAAATAACAAAAAGTCTATTTGACAAGAATATTCTTTTACCTTAACACACAGGAGAAAACCTAACCTTACGTTGGTCGCTGAACAACGGTGAGTCTTGGAAGAATAAAACTGTGCAGATTTGGCCGGGACCAAGTTGCTACTCTTGCATCACAAGCATGGACACCGGCTTCATACAAGACAAGAAATACATATATGTCATTTATGAGAAGGGCCAGAAAAATTGTGATGAGACCATCTCATTTGTGAAGATTCGCCTGTACGCAGGGCATTAGAACAATAAAGGGAAATAAAAGTGCTGACGTTTGGTTCAGATCACTGGGGAACTTGACACCGTGACTCGACAGAAGGTTGTGTTTGATCGTCACTGTGAAAGGAACATTTTGAAAATGTGTTTGATTTTTCTGTTTTTTAAAATCCAATCACATAAAATCAAGGTATCATCACTGCGATGGTTTGTGATGCTGATACTTTGCCAATTATTTACACAGCACTATTATGATTATATGAGTATTGTCAAAATATTCCACAGGTCAAATAAGATACTTTTCTAAAGGGTGAAACCAAATATTCATTACATGTCAGCATAAATCTATGGTTCTCCTTCAGCCTTAAGACAAAAATAAAAAAATTATTTGACCAAAGCCAGGAATTTTTTGTGTGAAACTGCACTTTAAAAAAAAGATTGGAGTCTGTCTTTAAAATATCTTGTTATTGAAACCTGTATGCAAAAATCAGGAATATTCTACACATATTTTAACCCTCTAAGTCATTTTTCACAAACCAGTGGTTTTTTAAGGAATCAAAACAAACTCAATTCTGACTCAATCTTTCTTGAGGCAAAAGCAGTGTCAAGATAACTCCTGCAACAGATGGTGCAGCCTCCTCAGATCCTCCTGTTCTTAACAGAGACTGTTTGGGATTACAAGACTGGCAAGACTGATGACTTTACTTTTTTAATTACCATGAAAAACTGATGCTTTTTTTAAAGGCAAATGCTGTGGTTTTCTTGAAATTAACAGTAAAAACTAGGTTTACTGCACCTGGTCAGTGGGATGTAAGCGCTAGACATTAAAAAAAGATTTATATTTATTTTGTAACACTTCTCAACTTAATATCAAATAATAATGATTTACAATTAAACCCTAAATTAGCTGTAACTAATGATTATTAACATAAACAACCTCACAGTTATTCGTCTTAACTGATTGATTCTGTGCTTTATATATTAAACCAAAAGTCGTTTATTTTTATTTATATATTGTTTAAAGGTGTCAATACTTATACTAAAAACCCACATGGGTTCTTTCGCTTAAAATATAAATATGTAATCGAGTTAATGGACTGTATAATATACTTGGTTAATAGTTTAGTGATGATTAATAGTCGGTTAACATCTCTACTGCTGACATGACACACTGAATAAGTCACTTTGTAGGAAGCCCTTTGGAAACATCACATTAAAGTCATGTCTTAATGTTGGTTCTTATATTTTCCTGTTTTTGACGAATATTAAAGATTCTGATTATGACATATGACATATATGTGACACAAGAAGTCCCAAAACGATCCCTCTCACATCTAATTATTCAGTAGCCGTTGACGGCTCTTAAGGCAACAAATCGAAACCAGAATAATATAATTTGTTTCTTTTATTTCATTTATTTTTAGGGTAAAGGGCATCAAACGGAGTGCAAGTAAGCCGGACACACTTATTTTATTAATATTCACAGTAGTTTCGGAGTGGAGACGATTGCGCGTTTACTGTAATGACCGTTTGTGTTTGACCATGCAGGGGAGGGGGATAACGTTGCTTTGCTTGCTGGCTCATTTGCTAGAAAAGCTACACGGCGATAGTAGCGGAGCTAAGCTCACTCTCTGCGGTATAACCTCGAGACCAAGTCGGGACAAGACCAGGTCAGTGGCCGCAATGTTTAAAGACTTATGTGTAAACAGAGAGCACAGGAAAAGCTCAATTTGCCCACTGGACTCAAAATCGACTCAGTCGGCGTGGTATTTTGTGGATGGAAAGACTTTTTTTTTTTTTGCTTAGCCTACGTGAGGCGGATGCCCTAGTTAGCTTCATTAGCAAAGCCTGGTTAGCTTTATCGCTTTTATTGACCTTATTTGATTTACTAAAATATTGTTGTTAGTTAATGGTAAGATTGTGACACGCGTTATTGAATAAAATGACATTTGAAGTCCACGCAGACTGTTGTTGTTTTGTTTAGATAACATTTGCGACAAAGCGTTAGCACCGTGCGGTAGCTGTGCAGAGTTAGCACCAGTCTGCGACATTTAATCTAGTGAAACCTTTATATTTTGTATATGTCTTGTATGTTGGTCAGTATTCTTGCGTCATTTGCTTTTCTATTCATTTGTAAAATAACCGTGGTACACCATATATTCCGTATTTAACGTTAGTGTACAACGGGCCTTTCTCCAGCGCCATTTTGTTTTGTTCTCCTAATAAAATGTTTTTTTTTTGTTGTCCCATTACATGCTGCGAAGGCATTATTTGAATAGGCAGTATTGTCCCTCCCATTACATGCTGCGAAGCCATTATTTGAATAGGCAGTATTGTCCCTTATTTACTTCAATTCAGATAGTTCGTTAACAAAGCGGTTGCTTCTTCATGATGGCATAGCTCTAACACCAGCTGAAGGTACCGCAAACTATTGAAATTCATTATGAAACATGAACGCAGTCCCCCTCCCTACGCCAACGCCAATACTGTCCTATGTTAGTCTGCTAATTGGTTAAAACCCGACCCTAAACATGTTTCTTAAATCAGCAACATTAGCATTTTGTGGCTTAATAAAAGTGAACACCCTCGTCACCTTTTACTATACTCATACTGGCCCACTGCACCGCTTTAAAATCGTAAAGCTAATGGTGGCTAATGCTAACCATCACTACTGCACATTACCAATCACTTTAAGGTGCACTTAATAATGCAACATGCAGTATAATCATGTTAATTGTGATTATAACTTAAATTGCGGTTTAGTTTATATAAAAAAAATAAATGAACATATGCCAATGGATGCTTGGGTTAAAGAAAAGGTACACCACACAATATATATTCCTTAATGAAGCTGATACACAAAGTTATAACAAGATTATATCATATTAAAGAGGTCAAAACTTCCTCCTGGGGAGGACGGCTAGTGAATCTTCAGTTTATATACTTTTTATGTTGCCATTGTGTGCAGTTAGATTTTCACAATGTTATTTCCCATTATATTGCAGACTACCAAATCATTACTTGGTATAACAATCTTAACCTAAGCGTAATCAATGCCTTTGGTTGGATAAACATTGATTTATGATACTAGATAGAATAGTAGAGCCGTTTAGTAGCAACATTAAAAAAAATGATCTCGATTGACCTTTCATGGAGACAGTCCATGAATGTATCGTGAAATCCTGGTTTGGGAGGAGTGAGTTTTTAAATAAATGGAAGTCAAAATATATCACAGTTATGTTTAATGTTTATAAATCTATGGTGATGGGTGTGATGCATATGTTGATGTAGCTAAGACAAAATTAGCTACATCAACTAATGACACATATAGTGGACTGTGCATCTTTTTTTGGTGTGCATTTTTGCATGGTATAGTGCTGCTGCATTAGAAGTGTCACCATGTGGCTGTCGTTCCCTGTTAATCCCCATACAGCATGTAGTTGATCAACTGTCCTGCGACCTAATTTTCTAATCTCATCGGGCTGTCAAGGGACTGCATTACAGCAGGAGTTTTTTGTGTGTAATTTACCTTCTCAAATAATGTGTGTAGTTAAAAGTCAAGCAGGATATTTTATAAATTGGTTATTCCTTTTGTGTGTTTTTTTTTTTTTTTTTGGCTTCATTGTGCAATGTTCCTCTGCACTCTGCTGATTAGTTTTTTTCAAAATGCATGAAATGAATTGGTGCCACTTGGTAATACAGCTGGACTTTACCCATATAGAAAGAATTTGCTTCAAAATAATGTTCAAAATAAGCAGAAGGAACATTTTATTTAATTTGTGGCTTTATAAATGTAGACCAATCATCTCTTCTGGGTACTCATGCCTAATGGCACCTGGGTCCATTGGGGGCAGCAGCAGTTCATCCTGCCAGATGCAGCCATACCATTGTAAATTGGACAGATGTCTGCGCAGTGTGTTTTATTGATGTGATGAGTACAAGCTTAAGGCCTGGCAGTTTCCATGGAGCCAACACCGTCTCAAGGCAAAGCATAGACCAATATCATTTATAATGGGTTGCCATAGAAACCATTGCCCTGCTTTTTCCTTTCTTTGTACAGTTTTCACCGATAAGTTGTTTAGCTGCTCACATTAGGTGCTATTAGCATGTTTTTTTTACTTTGTCTATGATGTGTTGTGCTATTAATTTACATTATTAAAATAATGTAACCCTGACTACCGTTGTGTGCTACAACACACCTGCGTACATAGTATGAAGGTGCAAGAGTACAGGAGAATATAAACACCAAAGCTGTACCAATTAAACTGCTAGTAGCCAAACCAAAGTGTTAAAATTAAAATGACTGCATAGAAAAATCAACAAAAATAACTGTTAACATACAATCAGTATTTATAATCAGCCAAGGACTTACTTCCTGGGTACAAATCTTCTTGAATGAAAATTTAGAGCTGTATTTTCAAGCCAACAATTCTGAATTACATTTGATTAACTGATTATCAAGTTCCTTATAGGGACATAACATGATGTACAACATTTCCAGACTTGTCTGGTGAAAAGGGTGTTCTAATTTAGTCACGTCCTATTTTTTACTCCTCGCAGTCATAAAATGCAAATTGGCAAAAAAGGACTGGAAAATGGTATCTTTACCTTCAAATAAATGTAAGACTATTTTTTAGAAAATTATTTTTAAATCATATATTTTTTACAGCCTTAGTATTAACAATAACTTAAAAACAAATGTCCAAATTACTTAAACCTAGCTGTATACATACAGTATTTAAATTCAGAAGTGATACAATACATCTGTACATCAGAGTTAGCTTCTTACACAGCTGCTGTTAAAGGGCCACACCATCTGTTAAGTTACAAGTGCAGTTACTATTGTTCCTGACAGAGCTGGCCTGAACAGGAGCTTATGGCAGGTGTGGTGTCAACGGCCGCCTACCACTTTTTGCAGAAATGAATCTTTGAGCACTGGGTGTTTTTCTAGTTTTTTTTGGTTGTTTTGGAGAGGGTTGTTCAAAAATTCCTGTAGATCGGTAGCTTTTGAAATACTCCTGCTGTTCCGTGCTGTATGTGTGTATCACACCTGTGTGTCTTCAGTCTCAGGGCTCACCATACTCAATGAGCGGACAGCGCAATGTCAGAGCGCTCTGGGCAAACTGCAAAGGGGAAGGAAGGCAAAACCAAGTATGCGTCTCTCAACCTGTTTGATACATACAAAGGAAAGAGCCTTGAAACACAAAAGCCTGTTGGTGAGTACTGTGGTCCTGTCACAGCCCAACTTACGTTGTCTTCAGTCCATCTCTGTCATCTGCAGTTATCTTTAGGGCCCTGTTTAAATCTCTGTCACTCCTCATCACAGTTGGATTTACCTATGTGTTTGGTTGTTCTCTAACCCAGTATTGCAAAGCTAATTCATTAGTACACTGTTTATTAATTAGCTGTGATGCTGTATTTTGCTGATGTCAATGATTTTAAAGATCAGTAGTGTTATACATAAAGTGTAATTATTTATATATATATATATACACACACACTATGTATATAGGTTAAATTGGTGCTTGTTAATTACTCACCCCCCATTTTTCTCTTTTTGCCTGCATCAGTTCCCCCTCGCCATGGCCTACAGTCACTTGGTAAAGTTGCCTCCGCACGGCGTATGCCACCCCCTGCTAACCTGCCCAGTCTGAAGGCAGAGAACAAAGGCAACGACCCAAACGTCTCGCTCGTTCCCAAAGACGGCACAGGATGGGCAAGCAAACCGGAACAAGCGGACCCAAAGAGGTTAGTGGGTCCAATCTTTTACAAATTAATTTTAGACTTAAACTTTGTAACAAGTTGTTTTGAAAATTCTACTTGCATTTCATAGCACCCGGTGACATCACTTGATTTCTCCAATGTCAATGCATGATCTGTTTTACTTTGGTTTCCTTAGTACCGATGCGTTGTCAGCACCGCAGCCGGAATCGCAGCAGCCTGTGGCTTCACAGATACCTGCACCGACCCGCCCGAGAACACCTCCAGCTCCAGAGGTACTAAAAGTTCATCTAACATACAAAAGTTCATCTTACATAGATTGTAAAAATGACATCAGAGCAAAAAAGGACAGGCATTTAATCTTTTCTGTTTCTCAGGTTCTGGCCCCAGCTTCAACCCAGGCCGTAGGGGCAAGGTCCTGGGCACCGGCCAGTGTTACACATGGAACACCAGGAGATGGTGCGCCTTCTATTTTATATTTGTATTATAATGATTTCCAAAAGTGTTTTTTGACACATTGAACATAATTATACTATTTTTTTTGCAGGTGGAAAGGGATCAAACCTACCGTCGCCATTCTCTCGCGAGGAATTTCCCACCCTGCAGGCGGCTGGCGACCAGGACAAAGCTGGCAAAGAACAGGGCACTGCAGATCAGTGGTATGGGCCAGGACCAAGCCTCCGCCCCCAGAGTAAGTTTTGAGAACTAACCATTATTATTAATGGTCTCAAGTTATTAATGGTCTCAAGTTGTTTACCAGTCTGCATTCTTCCTTTCAGACGTTACAAGTTGGCGGGATGGTGGGGGCCGAGCACTGGCACCCACCCTGGCCGGGGAGGGGGCGGCGGAGGGTGGCAGTGGTGGGACTTTGGTGATGGATGGGGCAGCTGGGATCCCCACTCCGAATTCCCAGTCTCATGGGCCACCTAGAAACCCTCCTGCAGGCAGCCCTGCCTTGCCTTTGCCCCAGCCCCCAGTAGGGCCAGGCTTTCCCGCATACAGAGGGATAATTCCTCCCTTTGTAAGTTTTATCATATGTTTTCCTACTTGTACTGATTGAAATAAAAGACGTAGTATTTTAATCTGTGTTTTTTTCTTTTGTTTTTTTTTGTTTTCTTTCTTCAAGATGTATCCTCCATATCTTCCCTTCCCGGGCCCCTATGGACCTCAAGGGCCCTACAGGTTTCCGCCACCTGGGGATGGGCATGCTCCAAGGTTTGTTCTATAAAATTATTATTTTATATGCAGTATAATATTAAGACCTTCTAGCTTAATTACACTTTCCCCTCACTGATCTTAACTGGAGAGCTAAATATTGGATTTTTTAGATTTTAGAATGAACCCTGACCTGGAAGTTGGCTTAGCCTAAAGCTGCACCATTATATGTGTATCAGTGTTTACAAACCCTGCTGTTATTATGTCAGGTTTTCTCGTGGGCAAAGTGGTCCTGACAGCAGGCAGGGTGGCCCACGTGACACAGGTGGAGAGGTGGTGAAGCGACCCTCTATCCTGAAGCAAGATGACCTGAAGGAGCTTGATGAGCTGGACCATGATGGAGATGAAGGCTGGGCAGGTGGGAAAATGTTAACACATTTTTATAAGTTGGTTTGGTTGGACTCATTGGCGCCTCCTTTGACAGCCTGTGTCAATTGCAAAGACTTACCTTGTACATTTTACCATTGTAAAACGAATAAGGGACTCAATTATATTATTGTTATATATTTAGTATTATAAAAAGCTGCTCTTCTTTTAATAAGGGGCTCATGAGGAGATTGACTACTCCGCTAAGTTGAAGTTCAGTGATGATGAAGGAGAGGAGGAGGCAGAAGAGGAGACGGATGAGAAAGACTCAAGGTATGTGATACATAGTCGGAGTGGTTTTTGCAGTAAATGTCATAAAAGTATAGCAGCTTTCATCTAAGTTTTCATCTTGTCTCAAATTTAGTGAACAGGCACAGGAAATCCCCCCTGCACCCTCTCGTTCTCGAGCTTCAGACAGTGGTGGAGAGACCTGTCGCACTCCTCCATCTAATGCTGACAATGGCCCCCAAACTTCCTCCGGCAAGCCAGGATGGGCCGAGGAGGGAGGCAATGGATGGGGTGGCCAGGGAGCATCACCCAACTACCAGGTAGAGTCATGAGAAGTCTTAAAAAGCTGCTGACCTTGGACTAAACCTGGATTTAAATTCAGGAAAAAATTAGATTAAAAAGTGAAACTTTTAGTTTTGAATAATGTTAACTGTTGAGCTAAGACTCATTTGTGGGCATTGGAGTGTTATTATTTCTGTTTTTGGCAGTGTAGATTATTTTGGTGGACCATAGCTAACTGTGTCTGCCTGTACATAGGGGCGCAGGCCTGGACTGGGTGGTCCCCGGGAGCAGCCCTCCCCACCACCTGGGCCGCTCCTTGGACAAGGGCCCTACTCCTTTTATCGACAGGTAGACATTCTGACAGGGCCTCATAGAAAAACCATTTTTATCATTATCTCATCCACCGTCTGCCAGTTTAATAGTAAATACCTTTTTAGGTTTTTGTACCCTTTTGTTGCAGCTTTTACAAACCATTTCCACAGCATTTCTCCCAGTAAGATTGTATTTGTATCTGCTCTAAAGATGTCACTAAAAAGCATCCCTCATTTTACACATGCTCAGGACCGGCCCCAAAACCAGGGTGCACCTGTAGGCCCTGGTAAACCCGGAACCCAGCATCAGCCTGCCACAGGAGCCTCTACAGCTCATTCTCAGCCAGGTTTGCTGGCACATGGGACCCAAGGAGAAGATGAAGATGAAACCTGGCGTCAGCGAAGGAAGCAGTCTTCTACCGAGATTTCTGTTGCTGTGGAGCGAGCACGCCGGCGACGTGAAGAAGAAGAGCGCAGAATGGAGGAGGAGAGACGTGCGGCCTGTGCTGAGAAATTGAAGAGGCTGGATGAGAAGCAGCAACAGCAGCAGACAAGCTGCAGCAGCACAGGAGGAGCAGGCAGCAGCAGTAAAACCCCAAGTCTTGATGGAAATTCAACAGTTGCCACAGCAGGCAGCCCGAGTCCATCACTTTCAGCGTCTGCGTCCTCCCCCAACATCAGCCAACCCCCTTCACCTTGTGTAGATCCTGAGGAGCCTCCAGCGCTGGCTTTCCAGCCAGGATCAAGTCCGGGAGTTACAGACAGACAGCGAGCCAGTAGCAACAGCAGCTATGACTCCACTGCAGGTGAGTTTCTTATATGAAATTTGGTTTTTATGGTTGATAAATTTAACAGATTTTTAATTTAATTAAAACATTTCCCTCTTGATTCAGATATCCAACAGAGTCCCCAACCAGCTGTGCCACAGCCAATGCAGCCCCCGCTTGATGTTCCCGTGCCAGTAGAGAGTAAGGAAGAGACTGTGAGCACACCACACGTCCGTGCAGGAAGTGGAAGCGAAAGGGTACTTGACACAGTAAAGATAGAGACCGTCGGAGGAACAACAGGTCGTCAAGTGGGTGGTCCAATAAGTCAAGGCTACTCAAAGTACCAGAAGTCTCTTCCACCTCGGTTTCAGCGACAGCAGCAGGTGTAGATCATTGTTGTTGACTTTGATGTCTGTTTTTTAATTTGGTGACAAATTCTAATAGCCTAAATGAACCATCTACTAATTGAGAACAAATCTCTTGTATCATATCTTTAGGAGCAGCTCCTTAAGCAGCAGCAGCAGTGGCAGCAACAGCAACAGCAGCAGCATAGCCAGTCTTCACAAAGCCAGCTGTCTCCTCAGCCCCAGCCTCCACAGGGACCTTCACCAGGTTCAACAGCCCAGCCAGGACCTGGACCCAAGCAGGCAGGACCCATATACCAGCCTGGCAGCATGGTACGGCCGCCGCCCCTTACAATGAATTTTGATCCTCGCTGGATGATGATGCCCTATATGGACCCACGCATGATGCAAGGGCGCCCTCCACCAATGGACTACTATTCTGCTGGAATGCACCCATCGGGTTAGTTGCACTGGAATCACTAGTGAAGTGCTTTAACATCCATTATTATAATAAAAACTGTTAATAACATGTCGGTTGAATTGTATAAGTGACTCTATTTATTGTCACTAAAACATAACTTCATAAATCATCACTTTAACAGGGCTCATTGGGCGTGAGAGATCTGATTCAGGAGGTTCTGGTTCAGACCCATTTGACAGACAGCAGCAGCAACATCCTGGGCATCCTCATCGTGGAACCCCTCCTATGGATCCTAAGCTGGCGTGGGGACCAGAGGTATTTCCTGGAGGAGCGGAGGGCCGAGGACTAACCTCCCCTCTGAGGCAGAAACAGGCAATAGAGGAAGAGGATGTTGCCAAAGGGCCCAGGTAAATTTAACTACCAATGAAAAAGTTAACTGTTTATTTGGATTACAGTATGTGTATGTCGTATTCAGTAGTGAACTGTTTTTTTTTTTTGGTGGAATAACATGTAGCATTTTAATTTGTAGGAGTGACACACCTCCACACCGCATGAGAGATGGTGGTTTAGGAGCCATCCAACAACCTAGCCCGAGCACTGGGACATCCAATCAGACCCCTCCTCCTCCTGTTGGAACCCAAGGAGGCAGCCACCACCCTCATCACTACATTGGTGCTCGGGGCAACTACAGCAACTTTCCTGATCAGGGGGCTAGAATGCCCCCCCATCAGCAGCCACAGAGAGTAGGTGAGAGGGGAAACCAGCCCCATGGCTTTACCCATCAGGATGAAGGGACCCCTCAAGGATCTCAGCAAGGCCAGATATGGGCAGCACCTCACCCCCACTATGATCGCAATGGCCGTACGGACCACCCTAGTGTTGAAAACACCCCTCATCACCATCACCCTCAGCAGCCTCACTTTCCTCTTCACCCACATAAGTCAGAGAGCAGCCGTGACCAAGTTATAGAGAGCACTGCTAAGAAATCTGCCTCCTCTCCGCCACTCCACCAACCATCTCTTTCATCTTCCTGCTCTTCGTCCTCCTCCTCTTCTGCAAGGGAAGACGGCAATGTCAAAGTTGCCCTGCACCACCACCATCCTCATCATCCATCTCAGAGACAGAGCGAGGCTGCTAGTGGGCGCAGCCATGGTGACAGGAGCAACAGTGGTAATGCTGGCAGTAGTGGTCATGTAAAACAGGAAAAACAAGGCCCAGCTTATGCTCCCCATTCCACAGTGACTGCCACTACGCCTCCTGCTCAGCAAGGTGGCCACAGTCAGCAGCAGCACCATCCCCATCCTAAATTAAACCAAAGAGGGGGACGGGAGCATAAAACCGAGACCCAGTGGGGCCCAAGGCCTGGCAGCAGCAATATGGGAGGGAGTTCCTCTCATGGAAGGAGGGCCCACAATACAGGCATTGGAAACAATCGTGGAGGAGAAGACTCTTCCAACATTCCATCAGATCACAAATCCTCCAATCAGACAGGGGGCGGCAGTGCCAACAGAAGGGCTGGCCCAATCAAGAAGCCCGTGCTTAAAGAGATAAAGAAAGAGGGAGGAGAAAATGATGGAGGAGAAAAGACAAATTTGTCTGCAGGGAAAGATAAGGAACACAATGGAGGACAGCAGGCGTCCACAAAGCAAGAGGCTGCCGCAAACACCGGAAACGCATCAGTTCCAACAAAAGACGAGTCTGTTCACACAGCCAAACCTAGAAATGGAGGAAAAGAGCGGAGCCAAGGAAGGTCGGGTCGAGTGCCCAAAGATGCAGACCCCAATTCATCAGGATTTTCTGGATCGAGAAGGGACAGAGACCGCTCCTTTGAACGAGGAGGAGGTTCCACCCACCACCATGCAGTTCCTTCTAAAGGTAGAGGCAGTCGTGGACGTGGTGGAGAGTTCTATGGACGTGGACGTGGTTACCGTGGAACGTACACAGCCAGTGCTGGGCCTGCTGGTGGTAGTCGAGGCAGAATGGGTGGAAGAAGTGGAAGAGATTACCGCTCATCTGTTGGAGGTGGCGGCCATCAACAAGAGTCCAAGGGTGAAGGGCCAGGTGGAAGACACGGCCCGGACAGATCTCAGCATAACCCAGCCAGGGCCAGGAACCGGAGCGAAACCCGTAGTGAGGGTTCAGAGTATGAGGAAATGCCCAAAAGAAGAAGGGAGAGAGGTTCAGAGACTGGCAGTGAAAGTGGAGCAAGTGACATTGGTCACTCAGACAAGGAAGAGAACAAAAAAAACAACACAAAGAATGGATCTGATAATGTCAACACGGCTGGCAACAGCAACATGTCTTCTGCACCAACCAGAGCTTCTCAGGCAAGGGTGTTCACTCCCAGAGGTGTTCCTTCAAGAAGGGGCAGAGGAGGAAGTAGTGGAGGAGGAAACATTACAAGGGCCAGTGCCAATATTGGAGGAGCCCCCGGTGGACACAGAGTCGGCCCTGCCTCCCATGGCGGTTCATCTAAGTCGTCTGCCTCAAACCGGAGACAGCAAGGACCACCACATACTTCTGGACACAGAGATTCAGGCCGTGGAGGACATGCTGGAGAGAAGAAAGACAAAATGGCTGATTTAGGACAAGGTCAAATTCAGGGGAACAATCCTCCTCAGCAGTCGGTACCTGCTGCATCTCCTGCTGCTCTAGTTTCCTCTGAAAATGGAGGTGTTGTGACCCAGCAAACTCCAAATAACCCCATGTCCAACTCTGGAGGGCACAATGTGCTCCCTCTCTCTGCTAACCGTGGGTTTCCTCCCAGTGGGTTTGAGCGCCCCCCTAGGCGTCGCCGTCATGGGCGTTCTCAGCACCAGCAGGATAAGCCACCACGCTTTCGTAGACTGAAGGAGCGAGAGAATGCTGCACGTATAAATGGAGGCGTTGGGGTTATTGGTGGTGGAAGACCCTCCTCCCCATCCCTGAATGCAGTACAAGAGAGCAATGGACCCCCTGTTTCTGCTCCGATGACGGGCAATGCCCAGAATGCAAACCACAATGCTGCATTACCCACCAACAACAACATTGGTGGAGGGCATCTTGGTAATACAAACAGTCACCACCTTCACCACTACAACCAGGGTAATGCTGGAGCACCCCTCACCCAGCACCACCACAGCCATGGAGCAAAGTCCCCTGACTTCACCAACCAGAACTCAGACCAGGCCAACGAGGAGTGGGAGACAGCCTCAGAGAGCAGCGACTTTACAGAGTTCAGAGACAGAGAGGGGGGCGGAGGAACAGGAACAGGAGGAGGAGGAGGAGGAGGGCACACTTACTCATCTCACCACCACCACCACCACCTAGGAAGAGGAGGTGGAGGAGGTGGTAACAGTGGAGGTGGAGGCATGGTTGAGCGCGAGATGACTGGGAAAGAGCCCCTGGCGAATAAAAGAAGCTTCTCCAGCCAGAGGCCGGGCATGGAGCGACAGAATCGCAGGGTCAACACCGGAGGTGGTGGCAGAGGTCCACGGGGCCCACCAGGTGGCACTGGTGGTCCCACAAATGGAGGCGGCAACCGTGGGGATAAGCGTGGCAACTGTTCTCCAAAAAATAGGAAGTGATGGGGGGGAATTGAGAACATTTCAGATGTACCCCACCCACATTAGGACCCACTCTCTTTGTCTTTGACCGTTTTTCATGACTCAGTGTTAACACATTGTAGAATCCATGGAGGCGGTTTTCATGTTTACCTGAGCAGCCCCCCTACCTTCAACTTCACATTTTCACATCAATCGGCTACCGACGGTAAATCTGCCTCCCGTTCAGTCTGTTTTTCTGTTGAGTTTGTTCCCTGATCTCAACTTGACCTTTCCTTCAAGAGTGTCACTCCCCGTTGGATTTGCTAAGCATGTTCTGAAATGGAGGTGCATGTCATTTTGACAAAAGACATTCTCACAGATCTCCACACACACACACACACACACACACCGACACAAGCACAAATACGGAATCTTTTAAAAAGAACATACCCAAGACATGCAGACCTGTGGGTGCAAAAAGGATTTAAAAAATGTGGGATTAAATTGGCAAATGTGTTTGGATTGGGCTATTTTTTTATATTTATGTACCTGTGTGTATTTATATCACACCTTGGCCTTGGGTTGTATTCAATAGTGCAGTTGTGCATCACTTTCCACACCACAGGAAGAGTGTACAGCTTCACCTTTTAACATGAACAATGTAAAGAGGTTTGGTTTTGTTTCTTGTTTTTTTCTGAGTCAGTTGCGCTGCAGCCTCTGACTGATGACAGGCGTTTGTGTTTTGTCTTCAGCAAAGCAGTCATTAAAAAGCTTTTTAACAAATCCACCAAAATATGTCTGATAACTGTGACCAGACCCATCAAAGTACTACTGCTCAGTGCTCATCCAAACTTCATTTCTTTTATATCGGTGTATGTGCTGCTTGCAATGATTAACAGTGTGATTAGGTTTTTTTTCCTCCCTGGTTCTGACCTGTTCGGACTTGTTCCTTAATTGTGGGTGTTTCATTTTTGCGGGAAACATCACCCCCCCTCCACTTAATCACCCCCCACCCCCACAAAACCTCATCGTAGCAGCCTTTCAGCCTCTGAATTTTCTCCACGTTGCAAAAACATCTAAACCTTTTCCAAGGACTGTAGTTTTACACTCTTGTTTGAGGTTTGTTTACCCTATAAAACTGTAATCATTGTGTGGTGGGTTTATTTTGAAAACCATTATTTCCTCAGTAACTTTTTTTTCCTTTTTTTTTTAATGGAAATACCTTTTCCCTCCATGAAAATGAATTACATGTCTGTCTGGTTAGGGGGAAATTAGTTTAAAGTTTGAAACAATAGATCATGATAGACTACATTTAAAAAAGTCATATAATTACGCTTCAGTAAATAATTCATCATGTTTCTAATAAGCACTCCTTAGTGTAACAAAAACCCATGGTTGCTGTTTGGTTCCTCTTTCTGCTTTGTGTTCAGTGTGGGGTTTTGTTTCTTTTTTTTTCCTTTTTTAATGAATACAACAGGACGGGTACTCTGTCTGGGCCCAGAGTACAGAGCTGACCTGAGTGTTGTACTTTTACATCCCCACCCTCTGCGTGAGCTTTCGTGGAAGCTCCTCACACCACACAGGACTATTTAACGGGAGCTCCTCGTCCGGGAAAATGTGTCTCAGCCTGCGTTTTTGTTTTGTTTTGGTCTGTTTTTCCTGGGAAGAACTGCTTTCAGTACAAGGTGGCAACCAGTAGCTCAGAACTAATCCAAAATCTGGACAATGCTGAGAAGGGTGAGAAGTGCATCACCCGCTGCAGTTCACCACAGCTTTCCAATTAACAGTGTCGTCCTGGACTGTTGATGAGGAAATGTCGGAACGATGTAGGATCCCTCTTGTAAAACATAGTTCAAGTCATGTGAATGACAACAAAAAAAAAACAGACAACGTCCAGGGTTTGATGAAAACTATCACGCATCTGTGTGAATTCTGTCACTGCTGTAAGTTGGGGTTTGTTCGTTTACTGACAACAGTTTTCAAGATCCGTCTCTGGGATTTAGTGAATTGGGCATTTGTTTTTGTTTTTTTGAATGGGTGCTTGTGCGTGAGTGTATGTTGTGTATGGCATGTGTGTGCAGTATGTGTGTAGTTTTCCAAGTTGTCAAGTGTATTTACTAGTGGGGGGAGAAAAAGGGTGGGGACCAGAGGGTTTGTCATGAATGGTGAGCACTTTCTGCCTTGTTTGCCTCCCCCTTCCAAACTCCCAAAAACGTTGATTTCAAACCAGTAAAATTATGATATTTTCCGCTATTTCTTAAATACATCAAGGTATATACGTTCAGTTGTGTCTATAGGTTTGTTGTACCAATGAATGAATCACAGCAAAGATGTCCTCCTTTCAGTCTTTTGCAAAATCTAAGCATATTCATCCTTCAAAGGGCAAACAAAGTATTTTATTTTTCACTGACTTATTGAGCATGAAATCAACACACACATTGGTGCAGCTTGCTATGCCTGTTACTGGTTTATACATGATGATAGCTGTACACGTAACACTGGCTCATAGAGTCCTTCATCCCTCCTTAACTAATAATGTTGATGTGCGCATTATTGTATGTACCCATGTTAAAAGGTAAAAAAAAAAAAAAAGAAAAGCAAAAGTAGTGTATTCCAGTTTTAAAAAAAAGAAAATATTCAAAGATTGTACTTTGTTTCCAGCATTACTGAGGTACCTGGAGTGGTTCAAACTGTTTTTAGCATTTATGGCTTTATTATTGGAACTGTAATATACACACATGTATGTATATTGGTATGTATCTGAGTTTGTCTACCCCAACTTACATTCCCACCAACAGATGTTGCCATTTTTAGTTCAAGGGAGCAATGTACAAGCAGAGAAGTGTCTTATTATAATAAAGTTATACAGAGAAGGCAAAGTTAAATAAACTACTTTTGATTTAATGGAAAATGTAAATGTTTTGTGTCTCATTTTTTTCCATCATGAACCAAAATACTGGCCACAAATATACTGTAAAATTCCTTCAGGGCAAACCTAAAACCTCCTTCAGGGCAAACCTAAAATGTTAAAAATTTTAACATTTTGTCAGGCTGATGTTGATATTTTTAACATTTTGTCAGGCTGATGTTGAGGATTTTCCGGCATTAACTGGGTTCCCACGCCACGATTTGAAAGCTCTGGTCTAACATTACAGGCACCTGTCCAATTTACACAAAAACCCTCAAGTATTTGAAAAAAAACTTTTAGTATTAACTTGAAAAAAAAAAACTAAATTAGCTGCATGTTCAGTTTTTTATCAATAATGTTAACAACTCATTTGTAAATATAAGGGACTATAAAATTAAAAAAGCAGACTGAATACAATTTATTGTCAAACAATTTTATCTTTATTTTTTAATTTAACTTTACACCCTTTGGATTTGTTTCCTCAAAGTATATTTGTGTATAATCTAGATAGATAGATATACTTAAACTTGAGATGTATCGTATGTAGTACATATAAGGGGCAATAGGTGGCAACAGTCCGCCGTGAGCGCTGTAGCTTTGAGTGGCCGACACTGCAGAGGAAGAGGAACAACGCAACCTACGGTGTGAGCTGGTGTCCATTTTATTTACACCGGTGAGGTTGCTTTGATATCTGTCTGTCGGGTTTTACAGAAGTACATAAGATAAAAAGAAAGTAAGTAAGTGTTTAAATGAAGTCGTTTACAGTGTTGTAGCCGCCTACAAACCGGTCCAAACTGAACCGTTAAACAAGCCCGTGTCTGCGGGGAGGCCTGATTTTCTAATGATGCGCCATATTGATTCTCGCTCTAGCTATTAGCAGGGTTAGCACAGAAAACTAACACCTGCTACAACAGGCTTCTGTTTTACCTTAGTGTGTTTTTTCGATGTGTGCACACTTTTAACGTTAATCGTTATCGTGTTAATTCTTGGTACACGCTACATTTATTAAATTACACTTAAACCCAATACAAAATAATTCCATTAGAGTTAGAAATTCACACTAGCAAGCTATTTAGCCTAGCTGTGTGAAGGCTTGGGCTGGAACTTGTACTAGGTTAGGACACATGTTTTGATAGAATTCGAAAGAATCGCTTTAATTCTTCCAGCAAAATATACCTCTGAATGTTGTATATTATATAATTAAATGTTGGTAAAATATTGAAATGATGAGGTTTCCAGCTTTTAGCGAATCTCGACGAATAAATTGTATTGATGATTTGTGATTTTGCTCATTCTGAAATATGTTTTTGTTGCACATCTTAACTTCAAACCCAAATATAATATGATATATAATGTGTTTTATGAAAATAACCACTAGTTAATGACCACAAATTCATGTTGTTGTTTTATTCAATGTCTGACAAAACAAAACAAGAATGTTGTGAAAAGTCTTTCTATACATTCTATGTAGCACATCTGTTTTTCTCTGCACTTAATATTTGCAAGATCATATTCAAGTAATTGCCTAATTTTTTTTGTCTTTTTGTATTTACTATTGTGAAAAATTTTTTTTTTTTAAATACTCCTGTTGAGGTTTTCAGATATGAGCAGTTCAGAGGAAGTGTCATGGATCTCCTGGTTCTGTGGACTGAGGGGGAATGAATTTTTCTGTGAGGTGAGTTACTTGCACAAAGCCATTGTGTCTTAACTAATAACATTAAATACGCAAACTGTCAGTTGTGTAATGTAGCCTTGTATTTGGCTGATGAAATGGTGTTCCAAAATCAGGGCAGTGTTGCTCAAATATTTAGAGTGTATTAAGAGAAATGCAAACAAGGCGACCTATTGTTGCTGGTATTTGCATTTTGTTCAGTTTCTAAACACTTTGCAAAGAGCTTAATTTAGTGTGACTCCAGTACATGCTTGTGGTTTTTGACACTCATTTCTGAAAGTACTGTGAAGGTGTTTTACACGTTTGCTGCTGGGAGTTTTCTATTGTTTCTCGTATCTGACCCGTTTGTTTGGATTGATGTGAACTTTTCAAACTAATAATCTTCATTTACCCTTTTCATTGTTGAACAGGTGGACGAGGACTACATCCAGGACAAGTTCAATCTGACGGGGCTCAATGAGCAAGTTCCACACTATCGGCAGGCCCTGGACATGATCCTTGACCTTGAACCAGGTCTGTGGTTACATGTGTCTCTATTGTTACATTGTTAATGTTAGAGTCATTGTTTAAAGTTGATACAGACACTGATCAGTCATTTTTAATTACATTAAGATGCTTTGTTTTCATCTCCACTTGTTCACATTTGATCTGTATGGTAAATAGAAATGATAAGCACATATTCACACAAACTGATGAACCAGCATTTTATCTCAGCAGTCTGTGGTCAACTGTTGAGCCTTTTTGTTTTCAGACCATCAGCTGGTGCCTTCTTTGTAGGTTAGATGAGAACTGACGCGTTACAATTCCAGAGTTGTTTCCCTGTGAGGGATATCTCTGTTGATTGTGATTTCTTTAGAACCTTACAGTAGTTGTCTTTCTTCATAGTTGTATCACAAGACAGGCCCTCTGTTTTTTTCTTTTGTTGTTGTTAGCTGCCTTTTTGGGAATAGCTTCTCGGCACAGATTTTAAGTCTTAACAGTTATATTTGGGTGACACCATTAACATTTTCAGCTTTTCTCACACTTTCCCTTGTTAGACGAGGAGCTAGAGGACAATCCCAACCAGAGCGACCTGATCGAACAGGCAGCAGAGATGCTGTACGGTCTCATCCACGCCAGATACATCCTCACTAACAGAGGCATCGCACAGATGGTAGGGATCAGTGAACCTCCGAACCCTTATGTCCACTTTGTCTGGTGTTATTTTTTTTTAATCTTGTCTTTTATGTTTTTTTTGCACTATTGTTTTCAATGTAAAGTGTGCATGAGTGCTAGAGAGGAATATTAAACTTGATTCTCTTTTCTCAGTTGGAGAAGTACCAGCAGGGAGACTTTGGCTACTGCCCCCGCGTTTATTGTGAGAATCAGCCCATGCTTCCCATTGGTGAGTGTGAAACCATCAGAGACATTTGCTGTGACTACGTTCTTTGTCTTCCACAGTGTCAGTATTTGTCTTTGGTGGGTCGAGGAGGGAGGAGGGCGTCAGGCTCATTAGTGATGATTGATATGATTGCACGCACAGTGAATTCTCATTCAGCTTGATGTCACTCACAACAAAAAAACTCATTTGTAAAATGTGACCTGCTCAGACAAATTAATATTAACAATTTTTTTTTAATTTAAAGCAGCCAGGCTGCCTCTTGTACTATCTTGATTTTGCCAGCCATTTTTATTTGGTCTTTTGACCACATTTTGACTAAGTCTTAGTGTCAATAATCCTTAAGATTAGGTCAATGAAATGTCAGAATACATACAAAATAGTATTCTGATATAAATCAGTGTTTTATTTATTATTATTTATTGAACTTATTATAAAAAAGGTTGTTGACTAAGTTGCTAAAATGAACAATGCTCTGTGGAGTATTTGTCTGTGAAGTTTGGACAGATTCTGAAAGTCAGAGGCTCTTGACTTTACTCCTCCGTCCCCACAGGTCTGTCAGATATCCCCGGTGAGGCCATGGTGAAGCTCTACTGCCCCAAATGCATGGACGTCTACACACCGAAATCCTCCCGACACCACCACACAGACGGAGCCTACTTTGGCACCGGCTTCCCTCACATGCTGTTCATGGTCCACCCCGAGTACAGGCCGAAGAGGCCCGCCAACCAGTTTGTCCCCAGGTCTGTTTATAAATCACCTTTGACCTTTAATAACATGCAGGGATTTGTCCTTTTGGTTTATAAATGTTATAATTGAGTTGGTAGTGTTTGTACTGTAAAAAGGCGTTTTTCCACAATCTCTGGCGTCACATTTGTCAGTTTTAGAGCTTTAAACTTAACAGCTAATAAGACGGAGATAAGTCTTCCTTAACTGGTGGTCCAAGAAGAGATCTATTTTGATCTGCATCACACAGTAACCACAAACACACTGAGTTACTGTAATACGTGTACAGTTTCTGCCTCATGGAAGTAAAATAAACTTTCCACTGAGGAAACCTTCCTTCACAGTTTTACTCCTGGATTCAAGTTGTTAGAAAGAAAATGGGGAGGAATGTGTGTGTCTCAGGGCAACAGTGTGTGTCCAGGCTCATGTTTCACCACTTTTTCTCTTTCACTGAAAGCGGACCCGTCACCTATCTCAGTGTAAACAAGTCTGTCTCAGCAGCTTGTGTTTTACCTCCATGATACTCACATCTCAGGAGTTTGTTTTGACTTTTATCTTTTCACTTTTCATGGCTTATTTATTTTCCTCATGTTCTCTTCCCTCCAGACTTTATGGGTTTAAAATCCACCCCATGGCGTATCAGCTGCAGCTGCAGGCCGCGTCCAGCTTCAAGAGCCCCGTGAAGGCCATCCGCTAGACACCCGGGAGACGAGAGAAGGCAGTATGACAGAGAGGGGAGAGAGGAAAGGAAATGAAATGTCCAAAAGAGCAGGAAGTCACCTGCCTTTTAAAGCTCTTCAGAAACCCCCGCCAGCCCCTGCCCCCACCACCCTGAAGACTGTATTATTTTTGGTTTAGATTAGGGTCAATGAAAACAGAGCAAAACGTTTTGATTGTGAGTGAGAAAATATATGATATGATTAAAAAAACAAAACAAAAAAAATAAAACGCACAGACATGAAAGAATCAACCACACACTCGGGATTCCATCCACGTACGTTACCAAACTCAGCAGTGCCATAATACAGCAGGTGAATAAAGGTGTCTGATGGTACAGTCACCTCTGTGTTTTTTTTATGTTTTTGGCAAAGTTTGGTAAAAAAAAAAAAAAGGTCCTAAAACTCCAGTTTGTGTTCGTCCCAGAGCATGTTCACTCAGGCGGTCAGTCCCACAGACAGTTGTGACGAGGTGTTCTTCTTCATTAGTCGTTGGTAAACGTAGGTTCTTTTCCCCCCTGACAGCGGGCGGTGGTGGAGCACACAGCATTCTGTTAACTTTGCCTTAAGGTGCGGAAGAATACGCCACCATCGTTTGATTTTTTTTTTTTCCTGGAGAAACAAAGTGATTTGGTTTTGTTGGAGTAGAAATGGTAGTCCTTTTTTTTCTTTCTTTCTCAGAACACATCAGCCTGTGTTGATCCTGAAATGTGGGAAATAAACTGCCCTTCCTTTGTTTTCCAGGAGCAGCAGCAGGATGAGCCCTCTTTTAAAGCTTTATCTTCAGCAAAACAGTTTGACATTAGAAGAATGAGTCACTTAATGAGAGCAGTTGGATGTAAAGACTGAATTAATTTCAAACCCTACGGTAAATATGAAGCCACATCAAGAAGAGGTCAGTTAATGTCACTTCTGTCTTGCTGTAGTTTCATATTTTAGATGGTTATAATTGGTTTGAGTCTTTACAGCAACATCTCCAAAAACATGCTGACAAATTTTTCAAATGTCAAACTGTCCACGTCAAAGGTCCGTCAGGAGACAACTAGATGAATTTTAGACAATCTGAATCCTTCAGCTCACTCTTACACTGCACTGATTCGTCCTCCTGGTGTCGCTCTGTGTCAGTCTCATTATTTATGTTCACGTTTCCTCACAGATCACGACCAGCTGCTAGTTTTTGTTTCTGAAACAGTGGAGGGTGCAGGCACTCAGTTGCTCTGCGCTTCACTGTTGTTTAAAATTATTGTTAGTTTTTTGTCAGAAACCCTGATACAACAGAAGATTTATTTATGTTTTCAAATGTTAACTAATGTTTTCTTTGTGATGTCTGTTGGTGAGCAGGATTCAGAATTCTCAATAAACTTCTATTTTGTTTTCATACTATTTGGGTATTACGCTGTTTGGTTTTTTATTTAGACTGCAGTTCCATGCGAATGCCACACGGCGTCAGCAGATCTTTTCACAGTTTATCCTGATTTTGCTGATATCATGCAAAAATGCAACACACACACAAAATAACGGCACCAAAGCCACAAACGTCGAATTAAATTAAACTAAAATTTAGTCTGGGAGAGGAAAATAATTATTCTGTGATCTGGAAAAATGTTTTATACTTATTTATCCATGTTTTCACACTTTGTTCTTCTAAAGAAGAAAGTTGGTGTTTGTGAAATTTTTCAAAAGTATTTCTATACCAGCTATTTTTTTTAGAAGTCTGCTCTCTGTGAATAAGTTTTGTGTCAAAGCATTTTCAATGTTGTGGAGATTGGACATCAACCGTGTGTGTGTTTTGGTGGGAGAAACATCTAGAGTTCCAGGGTGTGGTTGCGGGGACTTTTCACATGACTCTGAGTAGCTGCATCACTGGGCTAAACACACACACACACACACAATAATACAAACACCAAACTATGCACACAATCACAAGACCTCAGTCATACTTTAGCAATGATAAATAATTTATGATTCCAGAGTCAATTAATAGGCTGTGAACATAAATCTGAAGGACATGGAAACATGTGAGGACTCAAACTATCCTGTTACTGGATCCCACTCTAATCTGCTGCTGTGGGACAAACACCATGTGACGCACACACCAGGTTTGACTTCTTTTCATGTGACTCATACAAACTCGCCTTTTCCCCCCTTCTGCACAGCAGCTGTGTGTGGAAAAATGACTGGCAGGCAGGCTCCACTTGTCTTCATGTGGCCGTGCCCTGTCAGATTTTCCAGAGGGAAGAGGAAGGAAAAGGGGAGGAGGAGGAGAACACTCCTTCATGACTTAGAATTAAACCTCAAACCTCAGCCTGGGTCCTGCCCTTCTTCACAGCACTTCAACAGCACTTCAGCTTTGGGTTATGGAATCCATTAAGCTGATGTTTAACATCCGTTAACTCCAGCAGAGTGTGACCGTCTTCTCCTCGTGGTCCTCTGGCTGATGAACCCTCTCCTCACCTCTACTCTTGCAGGAGACTCTCTGTCCATAAAGCAGCAGAACGCTGATGGTTTTGAATCAGCTGCATCGTCTGCTCCTCTTAGAAAAGTTCAGCCACACCCAGAGGCAACATTACACCATTTTCCCTCAGAGATTTTTTGTCCTTGCCAGTTGATGTTGTTGTTTTCGTTGAGACAGCAGATACTCTGCAACACATCCAACTATGAAGGAAATGCGCGCCAGCCGCAGCAACTGAGACCACATCCAAAACAGAGTCTGGATTTTACTGTATGGTGGGGCATGTTTTTCTCCTAGACTCTGCTGAGCTTGCCTTAAAAAACCAGCATCAGTCTGTGTTTTTGGCTGTCTTTTAAGGTTTTATGCCCAGACCCAAACAACAAACGAGACATAATCTGTCCAGTTCAGAAAACATCCGGTGACCTACAGTGACGCCAAAAGCTAATTTCTAAAACTGAAGGTTGTTTTTTACCTCACGTCCTTTATTTCTTTTTCCTTTATTTTGCATGATGTTAAGCTCATTTTTAAATCCCTGTTTTTTCCTGAAGTCTCCACATGTAGCAGCAGCTGCAGCAGCCGTGGTTTTTCTTTCTGCTGACATCACTGCTTGAAGGTATTCCTCGTGTTTCGAATGCATTTCAACATTTTTCTAAGGCGTCCATGAGAATCCCCCGTCAACCCCCCCTTCTGTTATCATGACACCGCCCACACCTTTCTTCTCACTGGGAATGTTGTGATGATGTGCTGTGTTTGGGCTCATCAGACCAAAACAAAGCAGCCCACGTCCATCCATTGTTGGAATTTCCCCACATGCCCTCCAGGACACTGCAGCCCAGATGTGATGTTCGTATTTTATTTTTAGGAACTGTGAGCAGAGCTCGGCTCATTGGTCAGTGGTTGCCCGACTGCTTTGGCCCAAAAGAGAAAAAAAAAAAAAAAAAAGGAATCACCGCTCGACCTTCAGTGCAGTGTCAGGTATATGTCAGTGTTTGTTATGAATCTGGTTTGCTTGACCAAAATAACTATGACTCAAGGTGTAATAGACATGTGCGTTAAACATAGGGTTCATACTCCTATGAGTAGTCCTCCACTAATGAGTCATGAGGACAGTGAGTCAAAGTTTTAACGTTAATGTTGGCACCATCACAAGGTTCTGTATGGACTCACAAAAATTCACATTTTTCTGTATTTATGCATTTCTGTTTAAAGGCTCCTGGACGCAGATCAAACTTAGTATCACTTTACAAAAAAATCACTAAGACTGTAAAATGGTGAACCAGAAGGGGTCATTTTCACCCTAAAACATCGACCCTACATTTGAAAAGGGCGATTTTTTTTGCCACTCCTCCAGGACCACACCCCAACCATTGAACAGCGGTAACTGTGCGTTCTTTTAATTACTGCCATCATCAGGTTCACACTTCATATCCTGTCAAAATAGTGGCTCCTAGCCTTATGTCTGCTAATGTAGAGTTTCCGTCTGACTCAGCTGGATATTAAATGTTAGCTCTCAGGCCCTGGGATTTGTCCTTTAGCTTCTCTTGTGTCTCTGTCGCCTTGTTGCTGTCGCTGCTGCAACTCCAGCAGTCGGGGAGTAGAGCTTGGCTGGCTTCTCCCACACGCCCTTGTGCTGAGTGACGGCAGTTGAGAAACACGGGGAATCTGTGGGCAAAACAATAGAGGCATTTCACCGTCGGCACCACAGACAGCCTCCCTCACTGCAAGGCATTTCAAAACCATGACTCTGAGGATGCCATTTCATAACCACCCGTTCTCCGTTCTTCCCTCCCTCCTTTAGGCAACCTAAGCTTGTTGACTTAATCATAAACACACACACACACACACATATATATATATAATCATTAAACCAGACACACATCAATCTACAGACAGATTAACACCAAACGTCAGTCTTTGTGATTGTGCTCACCCTCGTAATCACAACAGTCACCCAACGGCTGAATACACCCGTCACCTCCCTCCGAGGCAGAACAAACACCTGAAATATTTGGGAATGCTATGGGACAAACTCCGGGCAAGAACAAACATGTTCTTGTAAGTAATTTGAACCTCAGGCCTGACCTGTAAAAACAGAACAGCAACCTGTAGGAACCTGCAAAAACACACCATCAGATCACAACCGAGCTAAATATTCTACTAGAACTCCTCAGGAGAAATTGGCTGCTCGGAGAGTTTCTTTGTCAAATCTGGTAACACAGTATGATGGTTAAAAAAAAAAACATATATACATATATATAGGGCTCGAACCCATGACCTTCAGGGTGTAAGGCAGATTCATAAGCAGACATGTGAAACCATTCTGTATGTCTGTTTATGCAATTTTAAACACATATGGCTATACAGTGGGAAAAAGTTGCTGGAACGCCTACCCTCTGCCGACTGGGTTCGATTCTGGTACTGACAGGTCCTGGTACTAAGCAGGAGAATGTGATATGTAGCTGTGGGTCAGAAATATCACCTGAGTTTCTGATATTCACTCACTGTAAAATGTAACACACAAAATCAAGCCTTTATTTTACGTTGTATGTTTGTGGGTTGCCTCAGGGTAGGTGTGTGACTGTCCAAATATTTACTATGTGCATACTGTGTACTCCGCCTGACTAAACCCCACCCATTAGACACGCAAACGTATCGAACATAAATAAGGACATTATCTGCCTCCAACAAACAGAGTCAGTTCAGGTGTCGCAACGTTGTCTTCCTGTGAAAGTGTTCAGGCTCCAGTTCCAGGGGAATCAAAGAATCCCTGCAAGGAAATCCTGCTGGAGATTTTGATGAAGTTTTTCAAGATGAAATGGAGCCTGTGACAAATTAAAGGGCTTTCATCACCCGGGTCTTTGTGAGTTAGGGCAAATAACTAGCCAGAATAATACGCCTGTTACCCAAGAGGCAACTGTGTCTTTTTTTAACTTGAACCTTAGATCAGGTGAAATGTGCTCTAACAAGAGGAACAGTATGCCATCACATCCATATAATAGTTTATGTTTAAAGTACGCTTTAATCCCAGAAAGGAAAGGATATAAACCTGAGACTTTCTCATTAAATACACTCAACCTAAATAACAATAAATAATAATAAAGCTCTGGACAAGCACAATATATGGATATAGAAATATTTAAATATATGTTATTTCAACTATAAAGAAAATCATAAACACACATATATACTCACTACGCTACTACATACATTATATATATTTTATAATATTTCAAGCTCTAAAGTACCACATAGTGTCACATTTAAAAGTTTTAAAAATAACCAATAGCAAAACTTTTCACTAATATAGTGTTACCATATAAACAATAATAAACCCATAGTAAGTTATTTTTCGGATATATCAAACACACAAATAAATAAAAAATAAATACATAAACAATACTTTTGATTAACTACACTGTTATATATATATAATATAAACCAAAATTATATGTATATGATATAATAACTCTGTGTCACCATATAATATACAACTGATTAATAATGTGACTACAGTAATCATCACATGACCACCATCATGGGATACTGAGAAAACTATATATTAAAAACATGACGTCACATCCCCCCTCGTAGAGCATTTAATTGACTCGATGAAGCTCAGGTGGGAGAGCTTTAAAAATACTGGGTTGGTTTCTGAGGAAGCCTCTCCTGATTGGACAGCAGTGACGTTGCTGGGAAGTGAAGGAATATAAATACCTCGTTAGTGGAGAAAGAGAAAGAGAGAGAGAGAAAAAAACCCGCTATTTGAAGTTCTAACGGTCAGAGACAGACGTTAGTTGCTCTTCTGCTCAGTTTTCACTGTGAACTCTAAACTCCTTTATTATTTCAAAAATGAAACGAGTCATCCTCCAGCTCTTTGCAGTCGCACTCTGCATGGCAGTGGGTAAGTCACCACTCAAAATGATTTACTTTACATAAATGTTTATCTTTCTTTTCTTTTTTTGCCAGTTAAATTATTCTTCTTCGAGGTAAGCTTTTAGAGTCACTGCGGACGTTTGAAAACCGTATGAATGTGTGTTTACTGACTAAATTCTGTTTTGTTTTTTGTTTTTATTGTTGGTGCGACACGTTTTGGTGGTTGCCCAGACCGGATATCAAAATCCGGGTTATTTAAAAAAAAAAAATCTATTCTTTATTCTTCACACTTCGTTGGTGCTTTTAGGACCTTTTTTTATTACCATTGTTGATAGTCTTGTTGGTACATAAATTGACGTATTTCATTTAAAAAAAAAAACTCCCTATTTTTTTGTGTCATCTTTTAACTTCATCTTGTCGATATTGGAAAATGTTATTTTTATGGGTGATATGACATTTCTAGCGTCTGCTGTTTTGGCCCGCAGCTCGGGGCTGTTATCATTTAAGACAGGGTGTGTTCCTTCCTAACGTATGACGATTCAACTAATTATTTGTTTAGACTTGAGTAATCCAAATGAGCTCAACAAGCTTATTTGACTGATATTATCATTAAAATATCAACATAACAACGTTGGATGTTGTTTATTTAGGTTAAAATGATAATAAAATTTGGACTCCATGATGCAGTTGCATGTAGGTTTCTGACACCAAAACAAAAATGATTTGAATAGCAAATTAGGTTAATTGTGGTACATTGTTGTAAGCAAACACGGTAAAAGTTACCTTAGGTAAAACATTGAAACCAGAAAGTTTACTTTACTGCAAAGTGAAATAAAATAGTTTTTTTAGTATGGCTATAAATCATAAAATGTTAATAAATGGAATAGGGGAAGTTGATGTGAAATATACTAACTTAAAAACCGATTAAGTTCAAAATGGTCTGTAAGGAAGTTAAGAAGAAGGATGTTGGCACACAATGAACTAAAAGGTAAACTATAAAAGCTTGGAACCTCTGTTAACTAAAAGCTATGTGCTAACTGAAAATAGATTAGCATTGGCATGAAGTCAAAAGAAGTACAAATAATCAGACTGTACTTTTGTTAAAGTAATTTTGGCTAAAGGTAGCATCCAAAACCGCTGAAATTGATCCAATGTTTGCTTAGAGTAACAGATAAACTTAAGGCCACTGAGAAAAGAGACGTTTTCTCAATGCTAATTGCAAACTGTCGGAGGTTAATGATAGTTTAATGTGATCAGAACACTATTCAAACAACCCTAATGAGCATTAGCGAAAGTTAAACGTAAAGGACATTGACTCAATTAAATGCTTTAAATTATGATTAAAGTTGATGTCGATGAGGCCTATTGTAAAATTACAGTTAGCCAAATAAGTTTTGTTGATTGTGTATGAGCCTTTAAATCAGGAGTGATATGGGAATGCCTTGTAGTTTTGAACTGTTCCTGATCTACAAGTTGAGGAAAACCAGGGGATGCAGAGCCTTGAAAAATACTTGTTCAAATGGCAGTCTGGAAGATTCCACCACAAACACAGCATGAGTAATTGTTTCCCACATGGAACAGAGCAGGAACAGTGGTTTGGCCTGTTTGGGCCACGATACACTCATCCAAGGATTTACTGTTATTATAGGTTGGGGTGAGGCAGTCTGTTTGTGGCACAAGGTTCCTTTTTTTTTCTTCTTCTTCTACTTCGTCTTCTTCTCCTCCAGACGTTATTAGTAGACTGAATTATGTTCAGGCCTGCCAGCCTAGTCTTGCATGAGAAATTCCTCACCTTGAAGCAGTGAAGGCTGTGCCCTTTTTTATTGGGGAGGTGGGAGAAAAGGGGGGGGTATTGGAGTTCAGCAGCCGTGCCCCTTAAGATAAATTCAGGAGGCAACGTTACTACATAACAACTTAAAGACGTAGTGATTTAAGTAGCCTACAGTGTCACCCACTGGCTACAGAATAGACACAGCATTGTTTTTTTGTTTGTGTTTCTATATGTATTTCAGACTGTAAAGAAACAGTCCAAATTTGTAGAGACTTGTATACAGTCTCTACAAAGTGTGTCACAGTTGACATGAAATTGACAATATTTTATTTCAATATTTTTTAATTTAAATCTTTCAGAGCGCCCCCTAAATGTCTCCCAGTAGACTCTCCGGGAGCCAGTTTTTTCTTTTTAGCGCCGAGGTAATCCAAACCCAGACTATACCATAGGATCATATTTCTTTTTCGTGCAGCGTATGTTGTCCGAACATTTGTTCATACGTTATTGTGTTTTGGCGCTACTGTATTTCTCCTTTTGCTTAAGGCTGCTTAAACACTGTTGTTCAGGCTCTTGTTTCCAACCACACCCTTTTGCTGGAGCTTTTCTTCCTCTCTCATCTTTGAGCCGATACTGTGGGAGATTTCTGACCTTAAACCCTTCTAGTACTTTGGTAGTTGTGAATGTTGTTTGTGACAAACAAGTGACTTTAAAATGGCACCTCTGCATTCCCAGCTTTGTCATAAGAGGGTCGTCGACCAGAAGGTTGGCGGATCAAGTCCAGGTGCGACAAGCCCCTGGTCAGGACACTCAACCCGCAGTTCATTGTCATGCCATGTGACAGAGGCCAGACTCTACGTCCTTATGGGACTAATTAGGATTTTAAAAAAAAGTGCAGGCCTCATATGAACCTGATCCAGATTACAGACAGTCAGCTGTGGTGGAAAATGGTAGAAACTTTCTACAGTTTGTACAGTTTACTGTATCTCAGTAAAAACACGCAGCTCAAAGTCACACTATTTTACTACGGCTAACCTGACACGTCTCTTTTGCTTCCACCTGTTGACCGTTGGTGTGTACTGCACCTGTTTGATCAACATCTTGTGTTATGTAGAAGCCGGTGTTCTCCTTGCCTTTGACCAGACATTTGTACTTAATTTATATAATAAAATAACCTAATTATACTTGATATAAATGGTAGATTAGAATGGCAGGTTATTACATGCGAACACAACAATTTTATTGTGTGTCCACATCATTGTTTTATCCAGGTTTTCATCAACTGTCTGTAACAAACACCATGTGAAGGATGTTTGCATGAAAACCCCTGGGTCACATGACTGTATTTATTCTCAGCTTTTCTGAGTTTGCCGTCATTGTGATCATCACGGACCTGTTTGACACAGTGTCTTGTTTCAACCTTCCTGTTTGTTGTCTGGATGTGGGCGCACTCTTTTTGTGTTGAACTGTTTTCTATGTCCCTGATTCGTAGCTGATTAAAAGGCCAGCAGAGGGCAGTGTAAGGCTGCAACTGCACGGACTCTAACTGTATGACTAATGTGCCACAACAAAGTATTCCAACGTTTTCTTTGGTTATGTAAATACTTGCCGACCAAACTTTTATTTTTTTCTGCTTTACTCAGAATTACTTGGATTTGACAAAATACCTCAGGTCAAAAATATTCTAAAATACCCCTAAAGACTGACTTTGCTAAAATACACACATTTTCTGCCATTTGTGGTATAAATACTGGTTTCATGTATTTTTTTTTTCTCTTTCTGATTACGTTATTACGAGGTTTACTCTCTTTTTTGGGGTTAGCTGTTTGTTGTCCATAGGTTTACATTTGTTGTGTTAGCATACCCTTAAGAATATGCTAATATGTGGTTATAAGTATGTTTCTATTCATTTCTACCCTACTTTTGGTGAATGTTACTATTGAACTCACTTTGAGCAATATTTTAATTTCATTTTCTGTTTTAATGGTTCACTTTATATAAAAACAAACTACAGACAACACAAATCATTATTGGCACAAATCATTATTGTTTGTCCAAAAAAATGACTTCCTCATAACTGACCTGACTAGTCCCATAACTTGCCTTTTATTGTTTTGCGATCAGTCGTCGCCATCAAGAAAATGAACATGAACAACAACAACAAAAAAACCTTTCACCTGCTTAAGTAAACATCTCAATTTATTATTCAGATGTGCAGTGTGTGTGGATGGATGAACAGAAGATCAAGTTTGAAATGCCTTGGAGAAACAAGTGAAGACACAAACTAATTAAATGTTATTCCAACCACAGCACTGCACAAACAGCCTGCTGTGATTGAGCTTCATTAGTGGAACTGCTCCCATGTGTCGACTTCACACTCTGGTCATACTGGACCGACTGTGCTATAATGGGTCTCTGGACACAAAGATCACAGTAAATGTTATAGTGAGCCATAAAAACGTCTTTGTTTTGTTCCTGTCGTTTCAGCATTTTTCTCGTCTCTTAAGGACTGTTTTGTGTCAGTTTTGTAGTTTCTTCATGGTGATTTTGTCCTTCCAGTCTATAAATGCAGAGGTTCTTGAAACAGTAAATGTACTTAGTAGAAAACCTGTTTCTCATCCTTTACTGTCATTGAGTCACATCAATGTTCTGCGTTGGTTACTTTCATCTGTCAGAATGTGGATATGAAATTAATTCTAAGAGCTGCAGAACCACCTGTTTTACAGCTTGAGGCATTTGAGGGTCTTCGTTTTGTTGTATTTCCAGTTGTGTAGACTGTCAGAACAAATTTTGAATAAAATCCAATGCAGAAACATCTTATGATGTGCTTTAATTGTGCTGAACAGCTAAATTTGGGCCCTTTGTAAATCGGTTGAAGAGGTTTTTCTCCATTGGGTCCTGATGGAAGGTGAAGTTTGGAGTACTGCAGCCCTTTATTTCCGTCTGTGTTAACCCCTTCTAAGGTCTTAAAGTCGTATATTTAAAACATGCGTGTGCCTGTAGTGGTGTGGTGAATGACAGCACAGAATGAAGTTTGTCTGGATGCTGAATTCCTATGGTGTGTGTGTGTAAATTGCATTATGGAATGATGAGGTAAAAGGTGTGGCAGCACAAAAAAGAAGATTTCCGTGGTTCCTGACTTTTGTTCATTTTAGTCTCTTTGTTACATGCATTTCTCTGCTGGACCACAAGGTTAAAGCTAGATACAAGTTGTGTGTTTTTGTGAATGACCTGAAATAAATGTAACATTTCTTATATATACTGACAGATTAGATTTGGTTTTATTACCTTTGTGCTGCTAATGTATCTGACAGGATGTCAACAAAGTCACCTAAAATGGTAGCTTTACTAGAACTGGGGTGTAACCGAAACCATCTGTGGAGGGTGTGGTTGTTTTAGGCTCCTGGAGTACAATGGTTGAAGGTGTGTGTTCTTCTGAATCAGTGAAGTACAGAGTTGGGATGACTGTACCGCAGAGTGGATTTAGACCTCAGTAGTCAAACGTCCTTTTATCATTTCTTTAGCGTGTTCACAGTTAGTCATGGAAAAGGTTTGGTGCAAACAAAGTATTGCTGCCTTCACTCATGATGTCATAGTCACTTCTTTACTGTGTTGCATACCAAATATGGAGGAGACATTAATCTGGAAGTAGTGCACCATCTTTAACTCAATAGCTATATTTTTCTTCCATAATGGCGTCAAACCTAAATACAATTTTAAAAAAAAACCCTCAATGTGATTCCAACTATGACTGTCCTGTGAACTAATGGTTGTTGGCAGAGATAGTAGGTGAATTCTACTGGTGTAGTTTAGAATAAAGAACAGGTTGAACTGAACAATTAAAATACTTTTACTGATTATTGATTACCAAATAAAAAACATGCGTAGGTTACATCAGGTGGAAATGCAATAAACAGCAGGGTGGATGATAAGGCTAACCTTTAGGTAATGTCTAAAGTTAGCCATTTCTAGCATTGTTTTTGTAAATTGTCTGTTAAATCCATATTTTAGCTCTTAGCTAGCTAGCTCAATAGAATTCATTGACTTGTATTATAAAATGAACACTTTGCAGGAGTTGTTTATAAATGTTTAAAATTAAATGTTATGGTTTTTTTTCTGCTGTAAAACAAAGTATCAATCTCAATTTTCCTTAAATGTTTTCCTTCTCATTTCCACAATATTTCACTGAGCCTAGGGTGTTTAAAATATTAGTTATTTGGAATGAAACCAGAAAACCTCCATGTTGTTCCATTAATTGTTTCATCATGACGCACTTTAGGAAAAAAAAAATCCTGTTTATTTAGAAGTGTCACAAGAAATGTTTTGATTTCACAGTGCCATGACTCTGTGAACTAGCCTAAGTGGAATTGAGTGTTTTAAGTGACGTTTGTAGAGATGCTGCTGCTGCTGTGCCCAGTCCAGCCCTGTTTTGTAGCCAAGTCATGGGACTCTGACACGAGAACCAGAGCAACGGGTTTTTGAGTGGAAGTTTCAACAGAGGTCACAATCTGAACGTGTTCCCACCCACTTTCTGAGTCAGAGTGTGTCGCCTTTCAAACTCACAATGTCACCTCCGATTTACTGCACTGTCCATTCAATCACCTGCTCCTGATGAGAAACTGCAGTATTTACACATGTGCAGGTTCTCAGTCAGTCGGAGCTTTTTCATGGCAGTACTAAACTCACTGAGTTATAGGATGTTGCTTTTACACCAAGGATGCTCCTTGGATTTCCTCATCCTTCTTCAGATTTCATTTAAAGTCTTATTAGACTTTATTGTAGTCTTTAAACTGGGGCCTATGTTAAAGCTAATCTGGAAAAAATCCTGAGTCAGTGTCCACTGTTTAGTCTGGCTATCGGTAAGAAGAGCTGTGTCAACAGACCCTGCCTTAAAAGCTTATCCATTGTTAGTGTTGACAACGGCCACCCAGTTAGCTATTGTCTGCAGGTCAATAAGTTCCACCAGTGTCTGGACACGAGCTGAGTGCAAATAGTCCAGGGTTTAATGGTATACCATAAAATTCTTATTTACTCCTAAGTATATTTAAAGAAATAATAATAAATGTCTCCATAGTACAGGTTGATGTCGGAAATGGAATACAATATTCTTTGTCACTGCACTGGGGGGCAATGAGCAGATGGTGTTGG